GGTGGCGGCTCCCGGGACCGGCCGCGCGGTGAGTCCGAAGCTTTGTGTGGAGCCGGGCTGGGGGAGAAGGGAGGCGGCGGCGCTGAGGGGCCCGGGGCTGAGGGGAGCCGAGGGGCCCGAGAGCAGCAGCGCCTGACGGAGGAAGTGGGGGTTGGGGGGCCGGGGCGGAGCGACGGGAAGGTGTGTAGGGGGGAGGGGGTCGTTGCGTGGGTGGGGGAGGGGGCGTCGAGGGGCGCGAGGTGAAGTTCAAAGCGTGGCCAGGGCCGGTTTAGATTGGGAGTAGGGGTGCCCGCCAGGGGATCAGGATTTGGTCAGGTGGTGGGGACAGGCCAGAGAGTTTCAGAGGCGAGTCTGGTGTGTTGAGGGGACCCTGGCGAAAGGGGCTAGTCAGGGAGTTAGGGGGATTCAGCGCGAAGGGTTAGGAGCCGGACGTGTGCGCGGCCCAGGAGGGGGAGCAAGGTGGCTGGGAGTGTGCAGTAAGTGGGCTGAGGGTGTGTGCCTCTTCCAGTCCTCAGGTCACATTTACCCCTGTCCTTTTCTTCAAGATGGAGGGATCCCTGGGCCTGGCCCTTAACTGCTCTCCTTGTGCCCCCGGTAGGGCTTGTGACCCTGTCCTGTCGAAAAGCCACGCTGCCCTCTTTTCCCTTTATGTGTAATTACGGTTGGATCATCTCGGTGCTTTGCTCAGATTCTCCTTCCTCCCTCTGGGGTTGAGGAGGAGGAGACACATCTGACCAATTAATGTGTTTGTGAAACAGGCAGCAGCAAACAGTCATTTCAGCTTTTAGGAATTAGGCTCACACAGGGTGGAGAGATCAGAGCCCTTCCGGGGGAATCTTTCTGAACAAATCACAGATGATTAAATTCTCGAAGATACAGCTTCCTACCTCAATGAGAGTGGGAAAGATGGGGGAGAAAGCCTGCCTGTTTCCAGCCATGTGTCCAGAGCGCCAGGGGTGGAGGAGAGTCCCCAAGCCCCCACAGGCCTCTCTCTCTTCTCTGTCCTAGGCTTTGCTCTGCAGCCTTGAGTTAATTTCACCCCTGCTGCTTTGTCTTGGGGGAGGGAGTGCTGGTTTAGAATTGTGAGGAGATGACTGTTCTGCTACCACATACAATGGTCGTGTCATTTTATCGGGAGTGCTACCCCAGGGCTGAGAACGGCTGCTGCAGAGATAAACCGGTCCCTCTCACCCGCCTTTTGTGTACACAGTGAAGGTCATAGGTTCAAGTCTTGTCTGAGAGCTTTGGATATGCTCCATCTCCCAGGCTCCTCAGTGCCGTTTTCTTCCTTTACCAGACTGGGGCTTGCTATTGGAGGAGGCCAGACAGAAAGGCTCTTCTTTTTGAGTGAGGAACAATGCAGAGCTCATTGGCACACATTTTTCAGAAGAATAGGGGATGCCAGCCATGTTGTGCCTGCCTCTTTGGCTAGCCTGTACTGAGTTGTGGAGGAATAGTGTCTGGGAGGCTTAACCTCGGTGTTTGTGTCAGATCTTTAAGGAAGACGACTCCAAGGGGAGGTTTCTACTCTTACTTGAACTATCATATTTAATTCTTTTCATAGAGAGGGGACAATCATCCAGTGATTTTTGTTTGTCTGTCTAGGAATACCAAATACCTTTTTAATGGTGACTTCCTGGTCAGTAATAATTGCACAACAAAAAACCACAAGGGCAAGGGCTGTGGGAACAACAACAAAAATATTTTCACTCTGATGAAAGGTGACTTGCTCTTTGTGCAGAAAATCCATATTTGCCTCTGTGTTAGGGAGAAATTTGCCAAAGAGATGAACATGAAAAAAAATCATTGCAGGTTTTGGGGATTACTAATAAGAGAGGGATGAGAACAAGCTAGAAGGAACCCCAATAATGGTATGTATCTCACAGACATGGCCAAGTAGAATTTAGGTACTCTTAAAACCAAAAATACTGTTGCCATCGAGTGGATTCTGACTTACAACGACCCTATAGGACAGAGTAGAACTGCTCCATAGGGTTTCCAAGGCTATAAATCTTTACAGAAGCAGACTGCCACCTCTTTCTCCCATGGAGCAGCTGGTGGGTTGAAACCGCCAACCTTTTGGTTAGCAGCCGACTGCTTTAACCAGCTCCTTTAGGTACTGTTAGCCCGGGAAAAAATTATTTGGGGCTAAAAAAGAGATTTCCATTTAGGACAATAAAGAAAACTTTTCTTTAAAAAGAGATTAGAAATAACTCATTGTGAGAGGGGAATTGTACCCGGTACACTGTATACAATAGCCAACCATTTCCCATAGGGTATTGTTGAATAGGTACTTTAGCCTTTGGTTTTGGTAAAGGTCTTTTTAAGGCAGATCTTTCTATGTTGCCTCCTACATCCCTCAGTGAGTGTCTTAAAATGATGGCTTGGCACTTAGGTGTTGAGCTTTGATAGGAGGGATCAGGTTGTTATGACCTTTATATTTCTTGATGACAGAACTGTCTGAAGGCCTTAGTGGATGCGGTTTCCTACTATGTGTCCTAGGTCTCTGAGTGAAGCCTCAGCTAAACGAGTCCAAAGCTTTTTGCTGTTGGAGTTGGCATTCGTTTCTGAATCCTGTCGGATGACAGTGAAGGCAGAAGCCTCAGGTTAAATTTGCCCTGATTAGATTTAGTGGTTTCAGAGCTGGGCCCCTTGCCACGAGGAATCTTACGTGAGTGAGTCTTCTGATTGTGACCATCTTTCAGAGAGCACTTTAGATTTTTTTTCCCAGCTTCTTGGTAGAAAATTTTTCCTTGTGAGAGATCTAGATAGCTGGACAGATTAGTGCTTGTTTTGTGTGAGAATATGGAAGCATAATTTTGGCTCCTGGTAGTAATTATGCTGCAGTTAGCATATAGCAACTAAATGACTGGAACAGGATAATTTGTTGAGGTGGTTTACTGACTGCTCTGTCAAGTAGAGGTGCCACTCCTTATTTATTGGACTCAGAATACTACTGCCTGGCCTCAGCCCTGGAGACTAAGAAGTAAGGAATGATATGTGTTCTCCGGAAGTTCCCATTCTGCTCCCCTGCCATGCACCATATCACCTTCTCCTGCCACTTTCTCCTGCTCTAAAGGTAGCTAAGCAATTGTTATTTCCCTTGTGGAAAACTGGTCATGGCTAGAAATACAGCCAGGCAGATGGGGCCACTTTGAGATAAGGCAGCAGCCTTATGTTATGTGGCAAATTGTCTTTTCAGCGGCTTAATCCTCCCTTCTACTTGATTTTTAAAAATCAGTTACCTTTAAAAAAAAAACCAACAACAACAAAAAACCAGCAACAAACCTCATTAAATACACAATCACATAGTGTACTAAATATGTCTTCTTGATATTCCTCAGATTAAAGTTGGCTGTGACGGGCAAAATGAAGATAGGTGATGCTGATTAGCAGGTTCTGGGCCCTCCGAGTGTCAGTGGAGGACTCTTTTCGCTCGGGAACAGGTAATTCACCAGAGCACCTGCCTGGCTGGGCATGTGGAGTTGGCAGCAGCTGTGCAGCTGAAGAGGGATTATTGAGCAGGTGGTTAAAGAATCACACGCCACAGTGACGAGAGAATGCTTGGTCTTCGGTGTTTTAGATTCAGTTCATACGTGTGAAATTGCACTTTGTTTCACATTTCTTAATGCATGATACTGGTTTGTTGGTGAGATGATAATGGAATAGAGAAAAGAAATTCTTCTTTCTCTGTTTTTCTTTTAGATTACTGTGTAGTATGCCCTAGAGATGATCCTTGAAGGCCTTATTGTATTTCTGTGAGTTCTGGCTTTATGCCCTATGAATGGGAAGGAAATAGTGGCAGTTCGTTGTTTCTGGTACTTGTTTATTAGAGGGAAATGGGAAGGAGAAAATTCTTTGCTTTCAGGGTAGTCAAAAAGATTCAGCCCACTGGGAGACTACCCAGCAGGCTTTATGCAAAGGATGTAATTGACTTTTTGTGTTAGGTCTACCTGACATGCCTTACCTAAGAAATCTGCATACATTTTTATTTTATGAATGTAGTTCTCCACATGAAGTTTGTGTCTCTTCATTTGTTTCTCTCATTCCATTTTTAGTTTCTCACAGCACCTATATAACTTTTCCCTGGTATTGAGATAAACATCACTTGTTAGAACCAGATCATCACAAAAGGGGCCAAATGATGTTAAGAAACTGTCTCTACTAAATATTTATCTTAAAAACAAGTGTAGCATTTCCTATAACTTGGAGGAAGACTTTCTATTTTGGGATTTTCTGCAAGTTCCCAGATTTTTCTTGTAAATTATCATCATCATCATCTTCTGTTAATATGATTTTATTTTTCTTTCACGTGTTTATGCCACTATAATAGCATTACCAGAGAGTTTACATTTTACTTTCTGGCTTGTTTAGTGTCTCCCAGTCGTTTGCTGTATCAGGCTGACAGGCTAGGAGCTCCTTCTATTGAAACACACAAACACACTGTAGTTGAATTCATAGGGCAATAATTAACAGTTGATTGAAGGGAAATGAGTGGCATTAACTGTTTTGAAGTTCAGAAATCTCTTTTCCCTCAGCCCAAGTGGAGTAAAGGCTCTGACCTGCTTGTCAGAGAGACAGGATATTTAGGGGAAAGAGAGGCAAACTCCTTGACTCTGAGGTCTGGGCCCATGGACCGCCCCATAGGCAGGGCTGTTTGCAAGAATCTGCTTAAACCTAGTTTGTAATCTCGCTTGAAGTGGAAGCCTTTTGATAACAGGTACTTGTTTAGTATTTACTTCTGGGAAAGAATATAAACTTCTTGATTTCCCCACGTGAAGCCCTCACAGGTTTTTTTTTTTTTTTTTTTAGCTATTCAAAAACCATATTTTTTCCTAGCATTCTCAGTAGTTTGCTTCCTCATGCTTTTCTCTGCTCCCCAGCTCCCATCCTACTTCTCGGCTCTGAAGACTTCTCCAGCAGCTTGGAAACACTCTAATTACTGTAGCTATTACAGTCACAACCCAGATCCTCCACCTCCTTCCTTTTTGCCCCTTTCTATTTTCCTTTCCCTCCTCTTGCTCTAGCAGCAGGAGCTGAACTGCAGTCTGATGAGCACAGTCAGATCTATGAATGAGCTTTGTATCTTGTCAAGGCAGAACTCTAGATCCAACAGGGCTGATTTTCCATGGTTCTCTTGCTGTTTGTTCTTGGATCAGAGTCCCAGAAATAAGAGATGGCAAATACCTATTAGGTCATATCTAGTCCATCACTCCGGGGCAAACCTAGGATCTTTCTCTTGTCTCTGTGAGAATATCTTCCTTCTTTTTGTTACAGGTGAGAGCTTTCTGATGCCAGACAAGCTCTGGAACTGCCTTCTTTTTATTTTGCTCTCTGGTCATTAGTGTCTGGCCAGCTTTGCTCTCTTGAATTTTTATTCTGACTCCATTTTCAAAATTACTTGCTCCCAGCAATATCTCAACCTCTTCAACTTTAGTCCTTTCTTCTTGATTGTTGGCACCACATTTATGAATTCCTTTTATGCAGCCTGTGCCAGAAGTCATCACTTTTTGAACCTTTGCCACATGGTCATTGTGGCATCATCTTAAGAAGGTGCATTTGATGGAAGTACAAGACACACATCCTAGCAGGTGGTAATTAATAAAATGACACGGACAGTATGTGTGAGGTTGTGCCCGTAAGAAGCCCCTGTACTGTATGAAGAAATGCTGCCTTCTGTTTGATTTGGGGTGCTTTCTGTTCTAACCCTTTGTTCTCTTTATGTGGATGAATTTTATTTTTGTATGGCTTACTTACAGTTAAGATACTGTCTGATCTAATAGTGTTGTGTATTTTCTTTGTTAGTGTAGCTTTTCAAAGCAGAGGAAAAGCATAGAACTGGGAGTCATAAAACCCAGGTTATGATCACTGCTCTGCCTCCAGTTGGCTGTGTGACCTCATGCAAGTCACTCCACTCCTGACTTTTCTCATCTGTAGAATGAGTACATTAGACAAGATGATCTCTAAGTTCTGTTTACGTGTAGAATTTCACGATACTAAGATTGTGATGAAGAGCGAAGACCGAGACTAAAGTGATCGACATATGAGCAGTCTTTTAGTACTGTGTCAAAAATATAATCAGTACTCAGAGGGCTAATGAGGGCAGCCTCAGTTCCCGGGGAGCGTGACTCTCACTCCTCTTTGGTATGTTTGTAGAGCTTATGCTGTGTTTTTTACTATTTACTAGACCATCTTTTGGAGTGTCTTGTTCCTTCATTCTGCAGGTTCACCAGCTTGCCAAACATATCATATTTTTTCTAGTCTGCTCAAGACATAGGATTGGGAATCAGAAAGCTGTAGGAAAGGAACCTTGCAGCTTATGAGAAGGAAGTCATACTTGGAAAGATTTGCTAAGTGTTAATAAGACATAACTTTCTGCATTCAGTCAGCAATCTAAGATCTTTAAATCCCTTATCTGAAATCTTTGAGCTAAATAAATGGGACTGATAGTGGATTCTTTTGTTGGGCTGGACATTTTTCCATTTTTGACCAGAGTGGAAACCCTGCTTTGAATTGACTTCTTGGGATTGAATATGAGTTGCCCACCGTGTCTTGTTTGAAATATAAAATTATATTATTTTTAATGCTGGAAATGTTAAATCAGTGACATTTGGTGAAGTATGACCAACAGGGAGGTCCCTGAAATACCGTCTGAAAGGGACTGAGAGATTGGAAGCTGATGGGTAACTGTAGGAACTTCGAGAGTAATGTTAGGACGTCTTTGCTTTCAAGCAGTTTAAGGGAATAAAATTGTATAACCAAGTGGTTAAGTCCCCAAGATAGGATTTTTATCAGCATTTCCCAGTTAAGTTGTGGATTTGGGACTCTAATGGCAGCTATTTATTGACCATTAAGAGAATGATGGTCTTTTGGCCATCCTTCCTTTATTGTTTTTTTTCCCTGTTAATATAGCAAAATTACGTGTTTAATCTACCTTTGAATGTTGGAGGTAACATTCACTGTTTTTAAATTTGTGCTTAAAACATCCATCATTCTATAATAGAAGAAATTGGTGGATGGAACTATTGTTTGTTGTGGACTCACAAAAAGTCCTGGGAGTGCTTTGCTTTATTCCAGCCATCTGTAGCACATTACTAATTTTCAGATAACCTAAAGGTTATTTTGGGAAGTGCTTCACTTGAATGTGGGATTTTAGAAAGATTTATATTAGAAATATAAGTCGTTTGAGTAGATAGGTTAAAAAAAAAAAAAGTGTCAACTCAGGCATCAGGAATTGGATTGGAAAGTTGGCCAAGATTAGGTTGCCTCAACCCTTGAAAATCAGGCTGCACCTTGAAATCCAGATCCTGACAGGCCACATTGCATGCTGATACCACAGTACATGCTGATATGCCGTTGCATGCTGATACTACATTGCATGCCAGTACCTGTAGTTTGTTAGGCTGTAGTTCAGTATTTGTAGAGGAAGGAAGTTGTGTCTCCGTTACTGTGTACAAAGTACAGCCTGTGGGCTTTTGGCATGTTACTGGCAACAGTCGTATGTGGAGCACTTTGGGTATGGTTGGGATGAACTTTAGTTCATGTGAGCAGAAGTGGCTGTCCAAGAATTTACCTTGTAAACTTTGGATACTTACAGTCTATTTGGGAAACAATTAACCAATGAATGTATGATTATGAACTGAAATCCTCGGAAAGAAAATAGCGTGGTTCTAGAAGAGTATGTAACAAAAGAACTCAGCATAGACTTTTTAAAACACAGTTCTGATCATGTCACTTCTTGCTGAAAAACCTTTAATGGCTCCTTATTGCCCTACAAAATAAAGTCCATACTTCTTAGCTTAGGCCAGCATTGAAGATCCGCTATGACCTGACCAAACCTGGCCTTCCTCAGCTTTATTTTGTATTATTTCCCACTCCATCCAGATGTTTACAGCCATTCCTCCAACTTACCCTCCATTTTTTTAGTCTCTATACCTTAACTTTTTTCTTTTCTTTTGGAATGCCCTTCCCTGCTCCCAAGGCATTCAACTCCAAATCCTACTCTTCCTTCAGCCTAGCAAAAAATAACACATCCTTCCTGAAGCCTTTCTTAGCCCTCTTCTTCCCACCTCCCTTCTCCAGAATTGATTTCACCTTCCTCTGTACTTCCTTAACTCTTTGTTGGGATCTCTGCTATAGCACTTTATCACACATTGTCTGTGATGGTAATTATTTGTGAATATATACTTTCTTCCTCCCTCATTCTAAGCTCCATAAGAGACCAATGTCACCTCTGTCCCATAGCACCTAGCCCAATGCTTTGACTATAACTTTATGCATAATTAATGCTTGCTGAATTGAATTAGAATTTGATTCTTGAAAAAAATAAATTTCTTGTGATTTTCTTCAGGCCTCCTTTTATGCTAAGATAACTTTCATTCAACTCATTTTATCCAAAATTAAATAAACTAGGAACAAAGCCAACTATGAAAGCATTGAAAAATGT